ACGAAGCAACTGTGGGGCGAGCAGTGATACACCAGTGGGAATACTATGCAGGCCAGGTTGGAAAGAAAAGATGAGGTTGTGGGTCCTTGTGAGGGGAGCATTGGGAGGGCAGCTGGGGAAAGAGACGCAGTCATGCGCCGTTACCAAAGCTAGTCACGAAAGAAGCAGGGGAGCACAAACACACCGATGTTGCTCACTCGCGATAGGTGTGGGGGAGACTGAAACAGTGAGCAGTCAGCTGCGTTGGATCAGGGGAAGGGCGAACAGCTGTGCCACACCACCGGGGGTGGGGCCGCGTACTTCATCGGGGGTAGGGCGGAGGGGGGATTGGCAGGTGGGGGAGTTATAGAGCCTGAGTGTTAAACCTGACGGAGTGTGATGGGGGGTGCAGGCCGCAGCAAACCATGGGGCAACCAAGTGGATAGCTATTGTATAGGCGAGAAAGCCTGCCGGTTGAGGGCACATGTACCCTACAACTTAAAGTAGTAATAATAATAAAATAAATTTTTAAAAAAAGAATAAAGGCTATTAATTTTTTTCGGCTGCAGCGGCTGACCAGCACCGATCGTCTGGCACTCCCCAGTGAGATGAACCCAGTACCTCAGTTGAAAATGCAGAAATCACCGGTCTTCTGTGTCGCTCGCGCTGGGAGTTGGAGACTGGAGCTGTTCCTATTCGGCCATCTTGCTCCGCCCCCGCCTTTATTCTTTAGAGCAGTTTTAGCTTTACAAAAATTGAGCCGAAAGTAGAAAGAGTTCCCATGTAGCCGCTTATGGCCCCACTGTTTCCACTGTTTATATAATCATTAACTTAGGCCCATAGTTTGCATGAGGATTCATTTTTTGTGTTGTGCATTCTGCATGATTTGGCAAATGTATAATGACATGCATTCACGGTTACAGTATCACACAGAATAGTTTCACTGCCCTAAAAATCCGCTGCATTCCACTTGTTTATCATTTCCTCCCTCCCTATAAGCCTCTGGCAACCACTGATCTTTTTACAGTCTCCATAGTTTTGATGTTCCCAGGATATTGTGTAGTTGGAATCCTATTGTATGTAGCTCCTTCAGACTGACTTCTTTTACTTAGCAATATACTTTTCTGTCCGTGTCATTTTGTGCATGTCACCAAAACTTGACTGAGGTATAACTGATGTATAATATACTGCATATATGTTAAGCCTGTCATTGGATGACTTTTCACCTAAGAATTCACCAGTGAAACCATCATCACCCTCAAGGTAATGAATATGTATCTGTCATAGTCTTCATATGCCTTGGGAATTCCTTTCTCAGAGCCCTACCTGCCACCCTGTCTGGCCAACACTTATCTGCTTTCTATCACTTGAGATAAGCTTGCGTTTTATAGAATTTTATATAAATAAAATCATATCATATGTACTATTTTTGTCAGGGTTTTTTTTTCACTCAGCATAAGTCGTGGGGGGCAGGCATTTCCCTTGGATCCTGTAGAAGTCTAAACTTTGAGAAGCTGGCAAGTCTCCTCAGGATGGTGGCTAATAATGTGGACTCAGATGTGCCCTATTATCAAAAAACATCTTACAAAGTCTATTAGATCTGAAAATAGCCCACAGTGTTCTTTTCTTCAGGGTCACATTGCAAAAGAATCTCTCTTGTCTTGAGCACAGATGTGAAGCATTTTTTCACCATCGGATACAATGAACCTTCCAAGCACAATGGATGCCTTGGGTGCTGCCATTCTCTATGACTGCCATGTTTTGATTGAGAAAAGGTTTCAGACTTCCTTCCTCTGTACTTTGACAGCTGCAAATTTGGAAAAAGCATTTTCAATATGTACTTCAATCGGGGGGTCAATGTAGACTATGAAAATACATATACTATAATTCCAATTAGGTTTTAAAAAGCTATTGAAGGAATGAATATTTTCATCTGGAATGATGAACACCCAAGGATTAATAAGAATAATTTCTTGATGGTGAGATTATGAGTGATTTACATTTTCTTTTCTGTACATCTTTGTGTTCTTCAGTTTTTCTAAAATGAATGTGTTTCTTTTAAATGTGAAAAAAATTTATATTAAACCTCACATTTGGGGGTTTGATTTGGAATACATTAGCAAGTTAAGTTCCCATCCCCAACTGACTTGGATCCTGTAGTCCAAGTAATAGTCATTGTCTGTCATTCAGTTACTTGTGCTAAGCACTGTGTTAGATATTGAATATAAATATTAACAGAAGGCAGGGAGTGCAGCCCCCAGGCATAGCCAGTCATGTTGCCCTGGAGCACAAAGAGATGTCCACATCTCTTGCAAGAAGAGGAGCTGCTGCCATTCCGGGAACCTCAAGCTCAGTTCAGAGGAAACATCTATGAGGAGAAGACCCAACCACCTTCAACTTAAAAGAAGCAAAAGAGCTCTGTGGACTCCTTTGTAGAGAGGGAGGGGCATGTGAGTCGAGAGGCCACCTGGATATTTCAGTTGAAGGGTTTATCCTTAAGGCTCGCTGCTTGTCTGCTGTCATTTATAAGTTCGTTTAATAAATACCGAGCACTTTCTATGTATCTGCCTTTACTGTTGAGTAGGGAGAATGATGAGCTAACAGTGAGTTTTACACATGAGATGCTTGAGACAAAGGTGGGGGGAGAAAAACGTGTCCATAACAGATAAGAGAGATCTCATATTTTACTCAACCCTGGTTGTCCAGTGAGAGAAAAGAGCACTGCACTATGAATCAGGATGCCGAGGCTCTATGGTCTTGAATGAGTTATTCTAAACTCTGGGTGGGCTTTGGTTTTCTCACTTGAGAGTATTGGTCTAAATGATCTTTAACTTCTCATCCAGATCTAAAATTTATGAGATAATATGGTTCACAGAGACCATGCATAGGACTAACTGTAGAATTCTAAGAGGAGCTCCGGTACTGATTGACAAATGCTAACGCTTGCAGAAGTAGACTCCCCTCTACCCAGTTTGGCACTTCAATGAGATTCAGCAGAATTGGCAGAATTCTTCATGTCACCAGAAAGCAGTTAAGTCTTGTGATGATGACCCCCTTACTTCTCTTCAGTTTCTCTTCCACACCAACATTACCCATACCAACTCTCCTTCTAAACCCAAAAGTTTGAGGATGTGTTCAGCATGGCTTGGTTGTAAAAAGAGAATGAGGATTTGAGTTTTGATGCCAATTTCACCATTTGTTATCTGTTATGGGTTGAATTGTGTCCCTCTCAAATTTATATGCTGAAGTCCAAACCCTGAGTAACCCAGAATGTGACCTTATTTAGGAGTAGGGTCATTGCAGGTATAATTAGTTAAGATGAGGTCATACTGGAGTAGAATGGGCCCCTAATCTAATCTATTGGTGTCCTCATAAAAGGGGAAATTCAGACCCAGAGCCTTGTACACAAGAAGAACATCATGTGAAGACTGGAGTTCTATATTACAAGGCAAGGAACTACCAGAAGCTGGGAGAGAGGCCTGGGAAAGATCTGCCCCTATCACCTTCAAAGGGAGCATGGCTCTGCTGACACCTCGATCTTGGAGGTGTCAGGACTGTGAGATGATAAATTTTTATTGTTTGAGCCACTCAGTTTGTGGAAGCTTTACTCTTGAACTCTTTACCCTCTATGGTTCCCAGTCCCTAAAAGCACCCTGACTTTTCTTGTTCACTGACATCTTTGTATTCCTTCAGGTCTTCGGCGAGGACTAAATGTTTCCACAAGAAGGTTGCTCATCCCTCCATTATTACATACTCTTCTGCTGAGCTCCAACCTGGCCTTTTAATCATTGGTGCTCAAGGTAAAATCCATTTCATGGCATAAATAGTTAACTTTCCTAAATTCAGTAGATCTTGTGACTACAAAAATATTACATATTATAAACTTCTAATTGAAGGTAAACTAAAACCTCTAAGAAATTATCTTGTTTTCTACTACTTTTCAGTGTGTCTTCCTTCTTGTACTAGAATACTTCTTAGAAATGAAAAATTCATTACAACAAAATTTACATTTACTACGCAGCTGTCTGCTATGATTTGTAAGTACATATATCTTTTCTATTGCTTATGAAATGAAAGTTTGGAGGTTTTGTTTTATTTTTTAGCTCTGTGTGTGTGTGTGTATGCACATGTGGTCTATGAAAAGTAACTGAATGAGTGCAGATGAGAGTCAATGAGAGGAGCCGTTTTCAAAGCGAATGTCAGACAGACACAGACACCAGACACCATGGTTAGTTTTTTTTTTTTTTTTTTTTTTTTTGAGACCGAGTGTCACTCTGTCGCCCAGACTGGAGTGCAGTGGCGCGATCTTGGCTCACTGCAACCTCCACCTGCCGGGTTTAAGCAGTTCTCTTGCCTCAGCCTCCTGAGTAACTGGGACTACAGGCATGCACCACCATGTCCAACTAATTTTTATATTTTTAATAGAGACGGGGTTACACCATGTTGGTCAGGCTGGTCTGGAACTCCTGACCTCAGGTGATCCACTCACCTCGGCCTCCCAAAGTGCTGGGATTACAGGCATGAGCCACTGCATCCAGCCTTGGTTAGTTGGTTTCTGACAGCAATGATGAAGTAATGAACTTGGTGTAAAAGCACCAGATTCAGATCAAGACATTTTTGAAAAATATATTTTTCCTTATTTTTAATAATAGCATTTATTTTTGGCAGCTCTTGAGATTAATAAGAGGGCTCCTATCTGGTTTATTCATTCTCTGTGGCTTCTTGAAACCTTGTCTCCACATGTATTTGTCATAATTAGTGATGGAGATTCCTAAGTTCCAAGGCTAACAGAATAGCATAGCTGTAAACATAGCATATCATCATTTGACTAATTAAGTGGAATCTAAGAAGAAAACAGTTAACTTCATTTCTGGGTAGTAATATTGCATTATGGACAAGAATATCTTCGATGTGTTAGAGTTATAAATACTTAGTTTCCGGAAAAAAATATTAAAAGTACTTATACTTAGATGCTTAGACATGTATATGAGTGTGTGTGTGTGTGCGCGTGCGCACGCGTGTGTGTGTATTAATCAGATCTTTTAGCCTTTCCTGGCTGTCCATTGAAATAGAGGTCATATGGGCTATTGATTAAGAGGGTAGTAATTTTTCAAACACATAAACAATAATATAATGAGTCAGACCAATGGTTTGCCTGTGTAGAAATTTGAGACATTGTTTAATGGAAATAATAAAAATATGCTGAGTACCTTCTGTGTTCCAGATTCTGCTAGGCAATTTATATCCAATGCCATATTTAATCCTTAAAATTATACCTTATTAAGTAGATAACTGCATCTTAGGTTTACAGATGAGGAATCTGAGGCTGAGAGAGAATAACCACTTGTCCAGGATCATAGAACTGGTAAGTTTCTTGCCTCTCCATATAAACTTCTACTGTTTGCCCTTATTCACAAAGTAACTTGCTGGGATTTTGACTGGGTTATACTCTTTTTAATACTTCCAGGAAATTCCTCCTTTATGTAATGTCATCCTCACAAGTACTCATCATTCTAAATTGTTTTAGCTTGAATTTTTTATTAACGAATTTTTTAAACTAAGTACTATAAGTGCATGGTTCAAAATTCAAAATGTAGAAAAGTATAGAATGAAAATAATTGTTCTTTCCTCTCCTGTTCCTCACCCCATTAGGCCCATTCCCAGGGACAGCACTCAACCAGTTTCTTGTGTTTATTCTATACATTGCCACACAGAGATGGGCAGATAGACACAGACAAGTCACAGACACAGATATACTCCCTGCCCCCACTCCCTCACATGTACATGTTAGCATAAACATAGTGAGTTCATAGCTATATACCTTATGTTTTTCTCTTGACTATATATATATGTGTGTGTGTGTATATATATATGTGTGTGTGTATATGTATGTGTGTATATGTGTGTGTGTGTGTGTGTGTGTGTATATATATATGTGTGTGTGTATATGTATGTGTGTATATGTGTGTGTGTGTGTGTGTGTGTGTGTATATATATAAGACAAGAAGATCTGGCTGTATCACCCAGGCTAGAGTCCAGTGGTGCAATCTCAGCTCATTGCAACCTCTGCCTCTTGGGCTCAAGCTATTCTCCCATCTCAGCTTTCCTCAGTAGCTGGGACTACAGGCATGCACCACCACGCCTGGCTAATTTTTGTATTTTTTGTAGAAATAGGTTACGCCATATTGCCCAGGCTGGTCTCAAACTCCTGAGCTCAAGTGATTCTCCTGCTTCAGCCTCCCAAAGTGCTGAGATTACAGGTATGAGCCACGGTGCCTGGCAGACAATAGATTTTGGAAATCCTTCTAGACCCTGAACAGTCTAAATTGTACATCTATAAACCCTCGTAGATCTGTTAGTACTAAAGTTGTCTAAAAAAATATATATTTTTTTCAGCCCATACAACCTCTTACAAATGTATAGGTGGTATTTTCTGGATTTGATCAGAATTGAGCAGGAAGAGAGTGATTCCCTCCCAGAGAACTGTATTTTGAAGAAGGAGTAGCTCTTGCTTACCCAAATCAGTCATTAAATTATAGGGGTACACATAAAAATCCAAATTGAATACTCATGTACCAGAATGAAGCATAAAAAACAAAATGATAAAATAAGAATTAGAGGGCACAGTGTGCATAACAAAGAACTAAGATGAATATAAAGATAAATGATGCAAAATCTGAAACTAAAAAGTGTTTGTTGTATAAACACAGACTTAAGGATGAACTACAAAAATGCATTCAAGATGAAAAAAATGCACTCAACTGAAATAACAGACTGCACATCCTATTTCTAACCCTTAGTTCCTCTGAAGAACAATTCATACCACCAAGAAGAAAAGAGGCTCTTAGATGTGGAAAGCAAAACCCTTATCAGGACAGATGTCCAGCATTTAGGAAACAACTTGGTCACAGGGAAAAAAAATAATCTCTTTTCCCTATGATGAGCCAGCAAAGAATAGATCAAAAAGCATCAGACAGGGAAGGTGAACAGGGGGCTAAAAAACGGGGAGGATTTTCACATTCAGAGGCACAGGAGAAAAGAGCAGGTGACTCACTGGCAAGCAGAAAGATGCATATGTTTTCTCTGTATTAATCTTAGCTATGGTTCTAACAAATCTACCGTTCTCTTCAATTGCTTCCCAGGCTTTGAGCCATTTCTTCCTCCTTTGAACACACAGACTGGCATAGGAAGGCATAGGCTGGCATCCTAGTTCCAAAGTTATGCATGTCTACCCTGTATCATTCACTCACAAATTCTCTAAGGTATCTAATTCAGTATGTCATGAACATACATTGAGTCCTTCTTATGTGCAAGTTGGTGCTAGGTGCCGGCATACAAAATGAAAGTATGCAGAACATCCCTTTTCACTTAGTCTTGCCTCAGCTGTAAAAAGAGATAGTAAAATGAATTGCTTTCTAATAAGGCACTTTTCTACTCTCAGACTATTAAGCTCTATGATACACAGCTGCCTCTCTTTACTGGGTTTCAGAACATTCCTTGTAACAGTCCTTGATTCGATGGCTTCCATTGATAACCAATGGTCTCAATACACCCATGAGATATCCCCTCTTGGATTCTGCTATTCGATTTCTAACAAAGACTTTCTCTTTTGCAAATAATGCAATGTTTAGTTACAGTCATACTCATGATCTGAGATCTTCTTAGCTTATGTCCTTAGATCTGTATTCACTTACACCAACTTTTTAGGGATTCTTCTCAAACTCTTCTCTAAGCCATGTTTTGTAAACAACAACTTGGCTAGGTGTTTGTTACCTTTGCACTTATACAGAAATGTGTGTGTGTGTCTGTCTGTCTCATTTCTCAAAGGATTCGAGACAAGCTAGAGAAATACATAAATTTGCAAAAGGATAAAATAAGAATCCCAGAACCCAGGAACATATGGGAAGGAAAATATTAAAGTAGATACTGCATGAATCAGTTGCTTGTTGTGGGGGCTGCAAATTTGGCTCTAAGCTTCATGACTGGCCAAGGTAAAGAAAGAAACACCATCCTAAGATTCACATGGTCCAACAGTCCTGGATAAACTGGTTTCTATGGGGAAGTACAGCCTTCCTGGATCCTGAAGCCTGCAAGAAATCTCTCCCTGGATCCCCATAAAATGACACTAGGAAATGTGTTTGATGATATTAAAAATACCTTACAAGTTTCACAGGATGTTTTTCCAAATCATGCCCTAATGCAGGCTGATGGCTTAATACTAAAAGGTAATTTAGTTATTGCAAGGCTAGGAAGAGCCCAACCCTTATTCTCAACTTCAATCAATCTCCTCCATCAGAATGAGGATTTCTTAATTCTATTCTGATGTGCTTAGAGCTTCCATCTATGGTAGCAATATTAAATCAATTCACTTAAATTAGAAATACTAAAATTTTAAGCAGCAGTTTCTTGGAATTTAAATCAGATAACAAAGGGTAAGGAAAGCAAGCTTAGCATAGTACCTGGCATGGAGTAGGAGATAAGAGATTGTAAGTATGAGACACTGTGCTGACTTCCCCAGAGAAGATGATGAGTTTGACAACTCGACATGGTGAAAAGACCACAACTTTGGAGTCAGGAAAACGCAGCTCTGTCACAGGGCTTGTTACCCGAGGTCTGGCAGGCTCTGTTTCCTCTTCTGTAAAATGAGGATAATAAACAGTGAATAAATAACTAGAAACATTACATACTCACCCTTAGCTTAGTGCCAGGAGCATAGTAGGGACTTAATACATTAGGCTGCCTTCTTACTTTTAAATTCATGCAATCAAGCAACACATAGGAACTAAAAAAGACCACACACTCAATGACATTGAGCACTTAACAACATATAGATCACCTGTAGCCCTATCCTTCCAAATCCACAGAGTAGATGGCTTAAACAGAAAGTTACTTTCCCACAGTTCTGGAGACTGAAAGTTCACGATCAAGGCGTAGGCAGGGTTGGATTCTTCTGTCAAGGCCTCGGCTTGCAGAGAGCTTCCCTATTGCTGCCCCCGCCGTGGTCTTTCCTCTCTGCACATGCACTTCTGGTGCCTTCTTGTGTGTCTCAATTTCCTTTTTCTAACATGAACACTGGTCAGATGAGATTGAGGCCCATCCTGACAACTTCATTTTTAACTTAATCTCCTCTGTAAAGGTCCTATTGCCAAATACAGTTATATTCTTGGGTGCTGCAAGTTGAGACTGGAACGTAGGAATTTTTGGGAGGACGTAGCTCAGCTCCTAACAGGTTGTAAATGAAAGGGTTTATTTCACCTCTGTTCAAAGTTGTCATATTAAATGGGTATAAGCAACGGGATTTCTTTCCTTCCTGCCTTTGTCCTAACTACACATTTGGTTGGACCGTCTTTATTGTCTTCATAACCCAATTCATTGATGAAAATGACCAATGTCAAGGTCCATGGCAGGACTTGAGACATGTCACCAAACAAAAGGGTCTCACTCTGGCATTCTGCTGGGGGGTGGGGCGGGGCAGGGGGACAGAAGAGGAACTTCAGGGGGATCTTTGAACATCCTGAAATTGTGTGGAAAATTTAGCATGGGTCTTTTTCTGTCAAGAAGATTCATAGATTTTGTTAGCTTCTCAAATGGATTCATGACCCTGCCCTTGAGACTCTAGCACAGGTAGAACCTTGGAGGGCTCTGTGAGAGAACTTAGAGACTCTGGGCATCATCGGTGTTTCCAAAGGATGCCATGGCCATTAACCACCAGTCTGCTTGTTCACAATGGAGGCACCTGTATAGCTCACTGCCTTTCTCCTAGAATGGCAGAGCCCCTGAGCTTTCCTGTACTCACCTGAGCTTAGGAGAAAAGCCTTACATACTTAAAGGAAAAGGCTTAAGTGAAGCTGCAACCCCAACAGCCTTGCACAAATACAGTGTCTGGCACATAGGAAGCGCTTATCAAAATATTTGTTGAGTAAATGAACCATCATCTATAGTATCCTCCCCAAATTCACAATCATTCCTAATAAAGGCAGGTCACTCTTTATTTCATGGAAACACCCACTTCAAGGTCCCATACCTTGAAGGAGAGCAGAGAAAACAAAATGGGACAGGAAGTAATAATACTAATGCTTGATAGGTGAGAAAGGGCTAAAAGTATTGATTATTTAGCCAGGAGAATTGCTAAGGAGTGACAATGATTTTCAAAAAGATACAGTGTACAGCACAGTCACAGCTGACAGACATGTGGTGAATGTGCAGGCTGCGTAAGAAGTAAACATCTCTTTCATAAGCCAAATGACATTTTGAGGTCTTAACTGCAGCATGAGTTACCCTGAGTGGATGTAGACAAAATTGATGAGGTGATGTGACTGTCTAGCGAAGCTTACAAGGTAATTCTTTTTCAGTTGTCTTTGCTTAGATTGTAGCAGGAACGTCGAATTAAGTTATGGGAAACCTGCATTCAGAGGTCAAATCATGACCTGTGTTGTCCATAAAAAAGACCAGGCTGATGGGGACATTTAAAACTAAGTCATACGGGCCGGGCACTGTGGCTCACACCTGTAAAGTCCCAACACTTTGGGAGGCTGAGATGGGAGGATCACCTGAGGTCAGGGGTTCGAGACCAGCCTGGCCAACATGGTGAAACCTCATCTCTACTGAAAACATAAAAATTAGGCAGATGTGGTGGTGCGTGCCTGTAGTCAGGTACTCGAGAGGCAGAGGCGGGAGAATCGCTTGAACTGGGAGGCGGAGGTTGCAGTGAGCCGTGATCATGCCACTGCACTCCAGCCTAGGTGACACAGCGAGACTCTCAAAAACAAAAAACAAACTAAGTCATATGAAAGAAAATGGAAAGGAATGGAGAATATTTAGTCTGAAAAAAAAAAAAAGGGAGAAACGCCTATGGAAAATGTACTGTACCCGTTCTAGGGAGCCCAACTGGGTTACCAAAGGCTTTTGATGAAAGCGTTGGGGAAGGAAATTTTATTTAACATTTATATTTATACATTTACATTTAAATTTATATTTGAATTTAGTTGAAATTATACTTAATGTTAAAAACTTATTTTTTTTGTTGTTTATTTATTTATTTGAGACAGGGTCTCACTCTTTTGCGCAGGCTGGAGTGCAGTGGTGCCATCACGGCTCACTGTAGCCTCAACCTCCTGGACTCAAGAAATCCTCCCGCCTCAGCCTCCCTACTAGATGGGACTACAGGTGCATGCCACCATGCCCAGCTAATTTTTGTGTTTTTAGTAGAGATGGGGTTTCACCATGTTGCGCAGGCTAATCTCAACCTCCTGGGCTCATGTGATCTGCCTGCCTTGGCCTCCCAAAATGTTGGGATTACAAGGCATGAGCCACTGTGCCAGGCCAAAAACTTATTTAAAAGGAAGAATTTCCTCACCCTTAGAATTGTTCCTGAAATGTTGTGAGAACCTCCTCACTAGTGATGTTTTGTTGGAAATACTGAGGGGAGTTCATGGGTCATAGTGATGTCAGGTTGGTGATTTTCAAACATTTGCAGCAGTTTAACAAAACCTAACATGAAACCCCCAGCATAATAGTGGTCATTAGTAGTCTAAATGTGTTTTATATATTCAAAATAAAAGCATTTAATTTGTATAAAACCAGTCACTATAATAATGAGGCCCTTTTGATGTACATAAAATTTTGAATTGGGAATATTTATTCATCAACTATTTATCAAGTAGCCTCTATTTGCCAAATACTGTTGCACATGTTGGAAAAACACAGCAGAGTTAACGAACTTATAGCCCAGTAGATGAGACAAACTTTCAGCCACCTAACCAATAAGTCAGATAACTTTAGATGGTGACAAGTGCAATTTGACATTGGCATAATATTCAGGCATATGTCAAATTGCTGTGAAAATTTCCCAGTGTTGACTCTCAATTTCTGTTCTCATTGTTCTTATGTTGATGTAAACCAGGAACACACTTCACGGATCTGTTGGCCACACTTTGAGTAGCACATGCAAAGTACCTTGGATTTTACTTGAAGTGCATTGGAAAGCACACATGCAGAGGTGGGAAAGAGAAGACTCAAAGATGACTTGTAGGGTTGTGGTGATGCTCTTTGTGGAGATAGAGAAGACCAATGGAGAACACATTTGGGAGGAGAGAGCAAAAGTTCTCAACTTGGGTGAGAAATATGTAAACCTTTAAGTAGAGAGGTCCAGTAGGAAGTTAAATAATATGACTCTGGTGCTCACAACTGAGGTCAAAGTCAGAGTTGTAATTTTGGAAAGTCATGATAGCCTGCATTTAAGGCCTCAGACTAGCTGAGTTACCTAGCAAGTGTGGAAATGAAAGAAAAGAGATCCTAGGACTTAGACCTGGGGCATTCTGACATGAGAATTATTGACTCCATCAGTTTTAACATCCAAGAAATTTTATCTTAACATTTATGAAGACCCAAGGCTTCACAAAAACATAGAATAAAATTCCCAAGTGTCACAATGCTGGCCTGAAGTGGCAGTCAGTAAATACACATGGAAGGAATGAATGAGCTCCAAAATAAGAGTTTCAAAAACCCTTGAGATTTTGCGATTTTAGGACCCCAAGTTTCTTCCCACCCATGATGTGTTAGGTTGAATGTTGACTTCCCCAAAAGATATGTCCGTGTCCCAGAACCTGTGAATGTGACCTTATTTGGAAAAAAGAGTCTTCTTTGCAGATGTAATTGAGTGAAGAATCTTGAGATGAGATCATCCTGGATTATCTGAGTGGGCTCTACATCCAATAAAAGTCCTTATGAGAAACAGACATGGAGGAAAAACACAGACAGATGGGGAGAAGGCCATGGGGCTGTGGCAGACATTGGAGCTGCAGTTTCAAGCCAAGGATTGACAGCAGCTGCCAGAAGCTTGAAGAGGCAAGGAGGATTCTAGCCTAGAGTCTCCAGGGAGAGTGCAGCCGCCTGGCTGACACACGCCAGTCCAGCCAACACCTTCATTTCAGACTTCTGGCCTTCAGAACAGTGAGAAAATAGATTTCTGTTGTTTTCAGTCATCCAGTTTGTGGTCATTTGTTACAGAAACCTCAGGAAACTATTACACATGGTCTCTTTTAGCTGATGCTGTTGCAATATTTCCTTTGGCGCTCTGCTGTATTCTGATTCAGTGATTCTCAACTCTGGCTGCGCATTAGAATTGCCTAGATATTTTCTAACAAAGGCTGGTTGGTATCTGGAACATCCTCAGAGATTCTGATTCAGTAAGGCTGTGGTACAGGCTGATATTGGTGTAGAGCCAGACATAAGAACTACCATTTAATTAGTCATAGCAACTTAACATCAAGGGGTGGCACAGAGGTACAGGGGGTGGGAATACCTGTATAATTGTTTTCACCTTAGGAATTTGCTTTGACACATAAGAATATGTGTCTTTACATTCAAGTATATTCTTAGAAACTAACTGAAGCCGTTTCGCATCCTTGTGGCACCAAGTCCTCTTTCCACCATGAAATAGGTGCAAAGACAGTCCTGCTTCCACTGTGAAAAAATAAAAGGATACTCTGACAGGTGGCCGCTGTTGCTGACCTGACCATTCCCCAGAAGCACCAGGAGGCATTGCTTTCTAGACTGAAGTTCGGTCATGCTTCACTTTAGTCTAATCAAAAAGATTTGCTTGCAAGTCTTCATTCCAGATGGTTCCAGTGCCTTCCATACAATCAGATAATGACAATTGTGAGTTTCTGGTGGCATGCTACTTCACGTAATTAAAAAAAATATTGCTGCATAGATGTGCTGAATAGGAGAAGAGTAAGTTATTATTTGGAGGGAAGAGGATTCCCAATTGTGGAACAAAGCAATTCCTTGTACCCTGGTTCTAAATAAATGTTTCTTTATTTTTGAAGTTGCGTGACCCCCTATTATGGTCTTTTTTGCACACATGTCAGAAAGCAGCCATGAGTGCATTGTAGTTAGCAAAGTGAGCTTGTCTGTAAAGGGTCTTTGACGAAGAGCTCACTGCATCCATTGACTCCCCAGGATGTCTGAGGTCACAAGTTTGGCTGGAGCACATGAGCCCAGATAAAGAAGATGGTTTTACCCTCCTGAAACAAAGCCAGAAATGATCTCCTTTATTGTGCACTTTGGGTCATGTGCTAATGATGAGGGTTTCTCTAATACTAATCCCCCTAATGAAGCCTTCTCCCAGCCCTTACACAAGCCCACAAGGCCCCGTGGCTTGGCAAGCCAGAGAGAATAAAAACAGCCCGGTGTTTGGCTTTTGAACTGAGTTCAAGGCAATTAAAGTCAAGAGCTAAGGAGGGAGGGAGAGGGTTTAGAAATACCAGCATAATAAGTAGTATGACTGGGTCCTCTGTAAATTAACTCAATTAGACAAAGCCTGATTTAACGGGGGAAGATGAAGAGAAGCGCTACCCTCATTAAATTTGGTTGTTAGAGGCGCTTCTAAGGAAATTAAATCTGTTAGTTGTTTGAATCACATAAAATAGTGTGTGCATATTCATGTACACACGTGCACACATGTAACCTCTGTGATTCTTGTGGTTATATTTTTAAGAAGAGAGGAATAGAATGCAAAGAAAAATAAAATATACTGAAAAGAAAAAAGACTGAAAGAGTGGAAGGTAAGGAGAAAAGTGGGATAGAGACAAGGAAAGTAAGAGAGAGAGAGACAGCTCTCCCAATTATAAAACCATGAGCCCCCTTTGGTGGGGGCTTCTGCTCAGTTGCTTGGACTGTAAAATCCTGCCAGGAGCCCAGGCTCAGTTCCCCCGAGTCTGCATGACGGTGGACAGCCTGGTGAACAAGGAGTGCTGCCCACGCCTGGGTGCAGAGTTGGCTGATGTCTGTGGCTCTCAGCAAGGCCGGGGACAGTGCACAGAGGTGCGAGCCGACACAAGGCCCTGGAGTGGTCCCTACATCCTACGAAACCAGGATGACCGTGAGCAGTGGCCAAGAAAATTCTTCCACCGGACCTGCAAGTGCACAGGTGAGGCCCATGCTCCAAGCTTGGTGGGGAGGGCCAGAGCTGGGAAAAGAGCTCCTTCTAAGGAAAAGATGAGACTCTTGACAGAGACTCTTAGATTAGACTTTGAAAGGCAAACCAATGATGGTTTTGGTTGGAAGCATATTCAATAAGCCTGATGTGCTGGTTTATTCTTCATACCCTCTAGTACATCTAATTATGAAGACTAAATAAATATGGCGTGGGCCAAGCCTGCTTATATGAATGCATGCCAACATACTATTGGCTTGTTTGTTGGAAGGGGAATTTAAGAGCTTAAAAGACTGAGCAAGTCCTTTCAAGATGGATTCAGTGCCCTCTCCTGAAATGGGTTTGCACTTGTTGAAAAGGGATGGGTGAGGCAAGCATGTAGAAGACAGGGGTCAAAGGCAGGTGTTCCGGTCTCAACATTTCTCATGATTTGAACAGATTTTTTTTTTTTTTTTTTGGAGACGGAGTCTCGGTTTGTCACCCAGGCTGGAGTGCAATGGTGCTATCTCGGCTCACTGCAACCTCCACCTCCCGGGTTCAAGTAATTCTCCTGCTTCAGCCTCCCAAATAGCTGGGATTACAGGCACCCACCATCATGCCTAGCTACTTTTTGTATTTTGAGACGGGGTTTCACCATGTTGGCCGGGCTGGTCCCGAACTGCTGACCTCAGCAGAGTGCATGTTTCTCGTTAAAGCTTATGACTGGGTTGGAACTTTGACAAAATTGTCGAGCGATGGCAAGATGGCGCTTTCTCAAGGAGCTATGGCAGGGAGGGTCGTTACTAGATAACAATGGCTTTTTGTCACTTTTATCTGGACTTGAACTGGACATCACAAAATTTGCTCAGTGTCCTTCCTTTAGACTCTGGTCTCTCTCATTACCTGTTGCTTTGACATCTCTGTGCATTTCTCATTCCTCTAGCTCTTTGGGGCTTTTTCAAATCCTCCTCAGTCTTTCCCATCTCCAGTTTCCAGCAGCCATGCCCTTCTGGGATCAACACTCAAAGCCTGGCAGGGGGCCACTGAAATACAAAAAACACAAGTGGCAACCTCAGCAAAGCCCTTGGACACTGTTGTAGGCTGGGTGGTTGCAGAAGACTTTTTCCTTTTAAAAACACTTTTTACTTCTGTTCTCGCAGAATTCTGGAACATAGGCGGATATAGGTCATTGAGCTTCATAAGGTATTGAATAGGTATTACTAATGGAACATACAAAGGCCTGTGATGTTGGTGTAGGAATGACATTTGATTGTTTTTTCATTTTAACTTTCAACTTTATTTTAGATCCAGGGGGTACATGTGCAGGTTTCTGACATAGGTATATTGCACAGTGCTGGGGTTTGAGGTATGATTGATCCCATCACCCAGGTAGGGTGTGGAGCACCCAGTAGGTAGTTTTTCAACCTTTGCCCCCGCCTCCCCTCTCTAGCAGTCTCCAGTGCCTATTGTTGCCATCTTTATGTCCACGAGTGCCCAGACATTAGATTTCTTTTTTCACATTAAAAGTTCTGGCTTTAGGCCAGGTATAGTGGCTCACGCCTGTAATCCCAGCACTTTGGGAGGCTGAAGTAAATGGGTCACTTTGAGGTCAGGAGTTTGAGACCAGCCTGGCCAACATGGTGAAACCTCGTCTCTACTAAAAATACAAAAATTAGCCAGGCATGGTGGTGGGCGCCTATAATCCCAGCTACTCTGGAGGCCGAGACAGGAGAATCACTTGAACCCAGGAGGCGGAGGTTGCAGTGAGCCGAAATCGTGCCACTGCACTCTAGCCTGGGCAACAAAGTGAGATCTGTCTAAAAAAAAAAAAAAAAAAAAAATTCTGGCTTTATAATCATTTTGTAGTAGTATTTTTTATTCTGTTATTCAGAAGAATACGTAGGTCCTAGTTTTGCCCTGGATATTAATCATGACAAAAATTTCAATAATGTACTGGATATATATTACTCAGTTTTTCTAAGTTATTTAAGCATTTGCTTCTATAGCCCTTCTCTCAAAATTATCATGGTTTTTTTAGACGAATGAGGAGCAGGTTGCTGGTGTGGTTAGTGTGACTGAAAACCACACTAACACCGTAACTTTTTTGTTCAAAACCCCAAAATACTTCTAGAACAATTATTTCTATGTCGATCAATGAAAAAGTGCTGGCCAGGCACAGCGGCTCACACCTGTAATCTCAGCACTTGGGAGGCCAAGACGGGTGAATCATTGAAGGTCAGGAGTTCAAGACCAGCCTGGCCATCATGGTGAAACCCTGTCTCTACTAAAAATACAAAAATTAGCCAGGCGTGGTGATGAGCACCTGTAATCCCAGCTACTCAGGAGGCTGAGACAGGAGAATCACTTGAACCTGGGAGGTGGAGGGTGCAGTGAGCTGAAATCGCGCCATTGCACTCCACTCTGGGCAACAACAGAGCAAGACTGCGTCTAAAAAAGAAAAAAAGAAAAGTGCCAACACTTTCAAAAGTTGTAAATCTGCATTGCATAGAATTCTGAGGCAGAGGACTTTAGGAAGTCACATATAATAACCGTTAACTCTTTTTGTTACCAGCTTCTTTATATTTTTGCCCTGGCTAGCAAGTTTTTTGCTTGTTTGTTTTAGGTAGGGATAAAAAGAATAGAGGATAGTAGAATAGAAGGGATCATTGCTATTTCCCTTTGCTGAGGAAATGTTTATAAATATTGCTCTACAAGTAACAGGAACTTAGGATCACGGAGACCTACTTTTAAAATGAAAAAAAAAAAAAAAAAAAAGGATCTTCTCTACTCTAAAAAGGCATTGGGCCAGAAATAGAGCCTGTCCTTTAAGTCCAGGCTGTAAAGAAATCCCGTGTGCATAAGCCAGTCCAAAGAAGCAGGGCTTCCTCCAGGGAGATGGTCTGCCTCTCTAGCCATTGTCAAGGCCAGGCCTGGCCCTGAGATCCCACCTCCAGGCTGTGGCTCCAGCCATTGTCTAGGCTAGGCCTGGCCCTGAGGACCCACGTCCAGGCTGTGGCTCACCTCCCCCCATGATCTGCTCAGTCCAGACTCATCAGCAACAGAACTCTTTCCACACCTACATTTTTTGAAAGGTAACTTAAGATTTGCTGTATCTATAAATTCAATTTACTAGACTTTTAATGTTTCTCAGTTTTATTGAGGCATAATTGTTACACAGGACACTGCACATAATTAATGTGCACAATTTGGTATCTGGACATACCTATACGGTTGTGTTGCCATCTCCACAATCAAGATAATAAACATATCCATCATCTCCAAAGGTTCCTCGTGGTTTTTTGTTTTTGTTTATGTTTTGCTTTTGTGGTAAGAACAGTTAACATGAGATCTGCCCTCTTAACACATTTGTAAGTGCCAAATGCCTTATCGTTAACTATAGGCACTATATTGTACAGCACATCTCTGGAACTTGCTCATTTTGTATCGTTATAACTTTACAACTCCCCATCACCCCTCCCCCATCCCCTGGTAACCACCATTCTGTCGTGTACTTCTCTATGTCTGGCTACTTTAGATGCCTCATGTAAGAGGAATCATGCAGAGTTTGTCCTTCTGAGACTGACTTATTTCACTTAGCGCAAATGTCTTCCAGGTCCATCCATGTTGTTGCAAATGGTAGAATTTTTTTCTTTTTAAAGGCTGAATAATATTCCACTGTATTGTGACACCAACTTTGGATGGCTCTACTTATCTTGCTAGATGGTCTTTTTCTTTGAATCTCAGGGCACGAGACTAAGTCCTTCGTGACTGAGCTGGGAAGTTATTTTGTGTATGTTGTAATTACCATTCTATGATGTGCTGTGTGTCCCAAAGCAGGACACATGTCCTTCAATTAATTCTCCCCCAAAGAGTAAGTTGCTAGCCTTCCTAGGGTAGCTTTTTTATGGGGCAATCTTTGGAATTGAAACCTGATCCTGAGCCTCCCAAAGAACCTCCTCTACAGTAGCCTGATGACTCTTTTGCGAATGGAGTCACTGGGTCACTCTCGGATGATCCAAAATTTCTCAAGGAAGAGATGTAGATTAGTGTCTTGTAACAGACTATTGATGACCCCGAATATTGTTAATTCTTTGGAAAATAAACACCTCATAGTTTCCATAATCATGAAGCTGGTAAAGTAATTTCAGCCTAATAAGTAGAAACACATACAGGATTTGTTTTTTAAACTCTAGGGATTTGTTTTTTAAAACTCTAAATTCTATGGTGAAATTCTCTGTAGAGAGTTTCTCTATAGTCTCTGTAGGGAGAAATTGAAACAAAAAAGCCACTAAGCTTAATTGTCAGGAAGAGCTGAATGGCAGGAGACTTTGAATTTGCTGTTCACCTTATAAGGCTTACCTGCCAGTTGGCTTTATGAGAATATGCCATTTGCAGCTATGTCTTTTGGCTTCTGAGAAACTTGTACACCAAATAGTTTTTGAACAGTTGACAGTGAACTTCTTGTTTGTACAAGTGACTAATTGCCTCCATTTTCCAATCTCTGAAATGGGGATAATGATGAAACCACACTTGTAAAATCCTTTTGAGTTCTGTAGATGAAAGGACCTATGTAAGTATAAAGTATTGTTATTAAAATAATAGAATCTCTAATTAAAAGGAATAGGCTATTTAGAGTTCCTTGTAAATTCACTAATCGGTGGCCTTCAAGCTTATTTAGTCTAATGGCTTTCTGAGGTTGAGCTGATGCAGTTCACGTAGGAATGTGTGGTGTTTAGATGATCTCACTCCTTTTCCATTTTTATCCTAGTCCTTTGTAAGCATAAGAGTTTGACTCTTTAAATTTAATTTTCACTCAAGAACATACTCAATGGTCGAAAGATTGATATTATCTAGGAATCATTTTTTTTCTTTTCTCTCTGTTTCCCAGTAAGAGAACACAGTTCTTTCTAAAGTGCTTCTCCTTATATTTTTTTGCATTGGTAGATTAAGAAGAGAAAAACTAACTTACGTTAAATTGATGGAAGATGCTACTAGGAAATCTAAATTAAAGAAAT